GGGGCCTCTCCCGGAGGGATGTGCGGCACGGCGGGGAAAGCGCCTGGAACTTTGTGTTGCGTGCGCGAGTGTTTTCCCGCTGTCTTTGCGCAGGAACTGCCCGGGGGCTGCCGGCCAGAGCCCCCCGAGGATGGGGCTTCCCCCGAGCACGGGGGCAACCGCAGCCACCGGTGGGACCGGGTCAGCCTGCGGGAAGGTTTCCTGATTGCTCCTGTGCCCAAAGCAACTGTGCCTCGTTCCCAGAGACTCTGCCTGGGCAAGCCCGGCTCAGCAGAGCAGGAGGAGAGGCTGCACGGGAGGACGAGCCCGGCCAGGAGCAGGACACAGGACAGCCCCGGGAGAGGTGACACGGCAGGGGCTGTGCGGTGAGTGCTCTGACACGGGCTGGGCTGGGGGATCTGTGCTGGGAGTGTGCGGCAGGATTGGGCCCCTTGTGGCTTTGGGGAGGTGAGAGCGCTTGGCCGCTGGGTTTATGGACCGGGGAAGCTGGGGGGCGTTTAGGGGTGCGTTGTGCTGGGCGGCAGGGGCCGGGTAAGCCCCTTACCTGCTGGGTGACCCCGGGGGGAGCCGTGGCAGGGCTGCGGGGCTGGTGCTCTCTGGGTGTCTCAAGTTTTGCTTTGGAATTCCAAACCCTTTCCCTGTGCAGGGTTACGAGGCAAAGACAGCTTTAACTTGGTTTTTTTTGGTGCTGCATTAATGCTTGTTGTTCGTTCTGTGTCGGTTTCCAGCCTGGCTCGTGGTTTCCCCTGGTGCTGGGGAGTGGAGGCGAGTTGTGCTTCCTGCTGGGAGAGAGAACGGCCTTGGGAAGCTGCTCCATGACCCACAGCTGTGCCGAACCCGGGAGTTGGTCCAGGTAAGAGCAGGGCTTGTACTGCTAGTGAGGAGCTGGGTTTTGCTGTTGGCAGATAGAATATGCCCGTGCCTTTAAATGCAAGGACAGGCAGAAGCTGGGAGGGATCCTGAGCAGGTTTGGTGGCACGACAGCAGTTTGAAAAGACCTTGACTGTGGGAGAAGTGTCCAGGAAAAATGATTCCTTTTTGGCAGGGAGGCAGTTTGCAAGGACAGGGGGGTTGCTGTGCTCTCTAGCAAAAATAGTCCCCTTGGGATGTCCAGGGTGAGGAAATGTTGGCCACGTGTGGGCTGGAGCAAAGGTGTGTGGGTGCCTGTGTGTGACACCCGTGGGTGTGCCATTGGAGCTGCCAGGGAGCCAAAAAGGGCACAGTTGTCTGAAAAAGGTGAAAGCTCGACACCAGCACCAAAGGAGATGCAAATTTTCCCCCTCTTGGTTGCAGACTTCACAAAGCTCCCAGAAAAGGAAGTTTTAAATTCCAACTCACCTTTATGCTAAAGGTTTCCTTGCTCTCTCAGCAGGATGTCGAGTGCCACCGTGTCCCTGAGGTCACCCTTTCTGCTGTTGGGAGAGCACGAGGTGCATGGAGAGGATCCCCAGGCATCTGCAGGCACAAGAGACTCGTACAACTGCAATTTTCCTACAGCCCTCGTGAGAGGGACTTTCAGGGTACTCTTGGGAATGTGTCAGCTCTCCTGCTGGAGCTTTTCTATGGAATATTTGAACACAAAGAGTAAAACTAAAGTCAGTTTTGTTCTGGAGTATGTTACACTTGTGCAAAGCTCCTTCTCTCTGTTTATTTTCTGTTCTGGAAAGCACATTTTGGGGTTCCTGGGCACTTCCTATTAAATGATTCCGTGAAAATAATATTGTACTGAAAGGAAAAAGGAGCTGTCTATGGGAGGTCAGATGTCCCTGATAAAAGCTTTATGTATTTTCACTCAGTGAGCTTTTAAAATGTCTTACAGTGTGTAGGAATGCCTGGCTTCTAAAACTCACCAGCTGAGTCTTAGAGGCTTCTTTGAAGAGCTGTTTTCAGGCAGCAGAATTGGCCCCCCAGCAGGGACTCTGTGCCTGCTCTCCCGTGGCTCCAAGGGATCTCTGGGCCTTCACGCCGGCACCGAGATTTTCTCGGGAAGGGCCTCAGATCCCCGGACCAGTCTGGGACACAGGCAAGATCCCCCTGCCTTTAGAAACGAGGCCTTCTTGTGGCTTCCTCCCCGTCCACGTTGGTGGGTTCCCAAGAAGGCCTCTTGAAATGCCTTTTGGGCTGTGCATTGAAGCCTTGGGAGCAAATTGGGCCCCCTGGAGGGACAGTGCTGTTGGTGCCCCCCGGGCTGGGGCACCCCGAGGACTCCAGCGCGCACCGAAAGGATTATTCGGGGAGATCCTCGGGGTGCCCGGCCCTGGGGAGCTCAAAGCAAGGTTCCTGCAATGGATTCAGGCATTGCTGAGAGTATCCCAGGGGTACCTGTCCCTGCTAGACAAGGAGCTCTCTAATGGACTGTAATTGGGTTCTAAAAGTGGTGCTCCATGTGCCAAAGCAGTGTGGGATTGGGATTAAGAAATGAGCAGTGATGGTACAATTGGCTGTTTACTCTTGAATGTAATGGTAAGAGCTGCAGGAGTGCAAGGTGTGTGTTCCAGTCCCCAGCATTTGGTTTGCACATGTCCTGGTCAGACACAGGTCCAACTTCCTCAGTCCTTAACAAAACAGCAGGAGAATTAAGGACTGGCAGTGTTAAGGTGATTGGTGTGACAGGGGTTAAACTGGGGAAAAAAAACATTGGGGAATTCCTCAGTTGCCCTTTTTGCCAAACTTTCCCAAACTTGTGCTCAGAGATGGTTGATTGGAAAAGTTGAGGCAGAAATGAAATTGCAAACTGGGGATATTGAAAGTGTAATTCCTGAAACTGAATGTGTCAAAGCAGCAGCTCTTGTTGTGCAGGGAATAACTCCTGTCAGCAACAAGGTCCCAACTGAAGCGCAGCTGCAGTTGTTCCTGTGGAACTCCAAGAAAGTGGAAGAGGGCAGGACCTGTAGGTATTACCCCTAATCTGGATCTGTACTGGAAAGGCAAACCCAGTATCCATTAAAATCAGAATGCCAACTTGGATTGGTTGCAGTAACAGCTAAATTTGCTCCTCCTGGTTTGCTTGTAGAATGTGAATGCAAGAACCTGCCGAGAAACCAATGGCCAAGATGATTGATGAGTGCAAGACCTGAGAGAACCACGTTGAATGACAACCTTGAGCAGTTTGCAGTATTGGATTTAAAAGATGGCCTTTGCTGCATCTCCTTGAGCAAGGAAAGCCAGGAAAACTTTGCTTTTGAAGGAGAAAATCTGGCAAGTGGGAATGAAGAAAAGCAGCCACCTGACTCCTCCCTGAGCCCCAGACAGCCCATGAACTGCCTTCCTGGGAATGGTAGGACGGGGTGGACTCTGGATTGCTCCCTCTGGATGTGTGGTAAGACCACTATGCCAACCTTTCCAACAGCCCGTAAGCATTTGGTGCCTTGGCTGGATGGTGCAAAGGCAGCATTTAAGCAGCTAAAGCATTCCCTGAGGAGAGCTCTGGGTCTGCCAGATGTCTCAGACCTGTTGGAAGCATCTTTGGTGGGGAGGGCAAACAAAGGACAAGGTGTGCAGT